CAGATAGCTGTAAAACAAGCCCACACTTGCCTATGTAGCTACAGAACTGTGGAGTAATTCATCCTCAAAGTTTACAGCAGGAAGTAGTTTCAGTTTAATTTCAGCAGTGTAGCTCATTCTGCCCCACTCCACCCAAAATACCACCCTTTCCAGCAATTATTTCACAGCCTTCCAGCCAATACAAGCATAGAGCAGGTGCTCTGGAAATGGGAGCACAAAGTGCTTAGCACAACTTTAGTGCTACTTTTGTGAACTTTAACATGGATTGTTCCACACGCTGTCTGCTGCTACAGGCCACTAAAGGATTGCCTAAAAGCTTACTTTCTGTTTATTAAGAATATAGCAATATTTAAATGCACATATTCAAAGCTTCAACCCCTGTAATTCAACTATCGAACACCAAACATTTAGTGAGCAGTAGATGTATTGCCACTCAGCAGAGACTGACAGCAGGCAAAGAAGTCATAGCCTCCTACTTGGGAACTTGGGCCTAAGATCCAAAAAAGGCGCAGATAGAATCAATCTAAAAGCTGAAGTTAGTTTTTTGAGATACTGCACCAAAACACTATAGTTATGTGTAATGATATGTATTCCCTTACCTGCAGGCAGCTGCTTTTGGTTAAAATCTTTCATGCATTCCCTCCTTCATAGCTGCCGGATAATGTCCTGAGATGCTGTCTTCTGGCAATGTGAGAGGTAACACCAGCTATTGCAAAACGTTTCACTGCTTACCCACCCCCTTCTGCCCTTTCCGCCATTCATATTGCTCTTACTACTACTCACACAATGCACTGCAATTCTGTGACTGGAGGAGGAGCAGTTAAATGCCAGGATCTCCACCACAATGTGATGCAAAAATAGCAGAATAGGGCAAGTGGCGCAACTTTTCTCAGTAGTAGCATCGGTTGTTAAATCTCTTACAGACTATGAAAGAGGCATGGCGAGGAAGATTATTTTTAACATAAGCAGCCACCTGCAGTTAATGTGGTAGACATTTCACATAAATAATCTGTTTGGTGCTGTATCCCCCCTTAAAAAAAAAAAAAAAAAAAAGAATCTAAACTTCAGCTTTAAAGACTTACACAGGCATGTGCCACAAAGTTCCTGCATTTCAGCTATGTTGTTAAATTAGAAATGTTAGCACCTGGTTAAGTGCAAATGTTCTTCAATCAGAATGTCAAAAATATCCAGAATTAAAACTAGATTTCCTATCAGACCTTGTGTTATTATTTTAAATCACTCCCCTCTCCACCTGTGATCATTCTGGTTCATGAGAGCGATTTTGGTGCCCACTGTTTATCACACAGCATTCTGACAATCAGCTCCTAGTAATTGTGACTTTTGGATGGCTAATGGGCATTACCAGGAGCACAGTATACTTGCTCAGCACCCAACACCGTCAAGGAGTGCTGCAAAAGAAATGCCCTCATCCTTTAGCCAAACATGGCACTTGCACAAACACTGCTGGGATTTGTATACCAGTAGTAGAGCAATATTGGTATTCTACAGCTGCTACATTTCCCCTACCATCAGTCAGCATAGCCTCTGTAATATTACAGTAACACAACTCAGCATTGGTTTCTTCACAATGAGAGCTGTGAAAATGTGGAATAGACTTCCTCAAGAATTGGTTCTGGTCAGCTTAGTGGATTGCTTTAAAAAAAGGCCTGGATTCTTTCTTGGATACACAGAACATAACTGGATACTAACATTTATGGGTAAAGTTGATCCAGGGAATATCCCATTACCTCTCAGGGGATCAGGCTGGAATTTTTTACCCAGCAGGAGCAAATTAGATCATGCTTTGCTGGGTTTTTTGCCTTCCTCTGGATCAACTGTGGGTGTAGGATAACTTTTTTTTTATATGGTTGAACTGGATGGACTTTTGTCTTTTTTCAGGCAGACTAACTATGTAACTTTGTGTTGGAGAAAATAATTGCTGTAGGGTACAGAAAAGAGCAGTCTACTTTAGATTAAAAGGATTTACTTACTGTAAAATCCTTTTCTTGGAGTTCATTAAGGGACAGGATTCTGTTATTCAGAGACAATTGGGATATATTGTTGCTTACAGGAGGAATGGGACAATGACATGCTAAAAATCCATTGGCCAGGTAGGTGTACACCTTCCCACTCCCAGCAGGTTTCAGTTTGGTAAAAAAAAAGCAACATGAATAAAATTACAAACACAGTGTGCAACCTAAATAAACTCCAAAAAATGGATGTAATGGTTCAGAACAAAAATCCTGTTTTCTCTCTTGTTAATTAAGGGACACAGGATTCAGTTATTCAGACAATTAGGATGTCCATAAGCAATCCAACTGAGGGTTAATATCAAAACATTAACAGGCCCACATAACAAAATAGGACAGCCTGCAGCTGAAAGAACTGATGCCCGAAACTTGGATCCAATTGTTAGGATCTTCAAAAGACAGCGGGGAGGAAGGATTTCTTTAACCGTTGGATTTCTGAGTCACCAGGCCAGAGATAACCTGGTCTTCAATGTCAGTTTGTCTGGACACTGAACCAATTTGTCCCATGATGACAAAATGTTGTGTTATAGGGGTCTGGAGTGGAACTGAGAAAAGCCCTCAAAGATGACCACCATCAATCCCTGTACTCGCATGCACCATTGGATGGCACTTGGACTGTAGAGTGAGTCTGGGAGCGGAGAGTTAATTTTTTTGGTGGAACTAAAACTCTGGCTTGAGCTGTGTCTAGGATGAGACAGATCAGGCCTGCAGGTGTGTCACAATAGGAAGCGGCTTCCTATGGCAGCGATGGACCAGAGAACAGCAGGATTGGGGTTGCTCTGTACACAACCATTGCAAAGAGAAGGCCTCCCAGGGATCACAAGATAGTAACCATACTAGTAGAAACATCAGGCTGTTAAATTTGCATCAGTAACAGACAGGGTATCTAAGTCTGGGAACCATTGCAGTTTCCTGCAGCTCTACAGAAGCAAAATCAACTGTCAAGGATTAGACACTGCCTCCCCAAAAGGCTCAGATACAAATTCTGAAGGGGAAGGTGTAAAGTATGCTTACAACATCTGCATTACAATTCAGCAATCAAAACTGCAACTTGGCCCATAAGGCTCTGTTCACACTTGGACAAAGTCACATGACAAGTCACAGCCAATTGTTTTTAACGGCACCCATTTGGATCTATGAGACTTAAAGTCACAGTGACTTTAAAAACGTTCCTGCACTACTTTGTTGCAACTTTGATGCGACCTGAGTGCAAGAGTGTAAAGTCGTATCAAGGTCACAATAAAAGTTACACTGGATATCGTGTCACTTTGTAGTTGCACAAAAAAAGTGAAAAGAGCCTTAAAATCAGCAAAGCTGTAGTGAACGCTTTTCTGCATTAGCAGAGGAGGGGACAACACCTGACAGTGCCAAGAAAGACAAAAGGAGTGTATTGACCAAAGCAAGGGACAATGATCCAGTCTATCAGTGTCATGTCCCAGAAGAGGGACGTTGCAGGTTGCACAGGAATCGAGAGACCTGACGCAGTGAGACTCCTCTCTTTCAATTTAACATGTTGCACTGTTTAACAGAGACCATTTTATTGAGACCACCACCAAAAGTATTCACAAGCAGCTGTTGAAGGTAGGAGAGGTTCAAATGGCCAAAATTTACTAGTCAATGTAGGCAGCATCAAGGACTAACCAAGGTAAAACTGTGTACCTTGCAAATAAAAGCAGCGGTGGGAGGGTGCAAGGACGGAAGGCAGAAACAGAGCATGGAGTGTGCGCCACACTGCTGCACTTAATTCCCAGCATGGTAACATTTTCCGTAGAAACCAACAGAAAAGCAGTTCCAATAAATATAGTATCCTCTGATGCTCAGCCCACACAGTGTACTCATTAAAGAGTCTTCAGAGACTAGGTCATGGCCCAGGACCTCAAAAGTGCTCATCAAACAACAATATACGGAGGTCTGGAAAGTGCCACAAGCAGAGCCAAGTGCCCAAAGGTCATATTCCAGTGACGCATTGTGACCTTCAGTCCAGTGGAGTGCAAGTATGACCTCCAAAGCTAAGGATACGCTGATCCAGGTAGCTACCTAAAGAGGCCAGCTTAACATGCATGTTGACAGTCTTAAACTGAAGGAAAAAAATATTGAAAAAGAGAAGATGGCTAGAAATTTAGTTAGACATCCATTCACATAGGACACTAGCAAAAAAAATTGAAGCATGATAGGAGTGGGAGAGGCTATACCTGGCTTTTTGTTTGCCAGTGTCCAATTCCTCCTGTAGAAAGCAGTATAACTTAGCGGTATTTAAAAAAAGTAACCGTGTCTTTTAATTAACAAGCAAGAAATGTAGTTTGGAGAATGCCCAAAGTTTATAGTTTTAGTGTGACAATAAGGCTGGGTTCACACTGATGCACATGTTTTTGGCAAGTACTAAAAGTCTTGCATGCCGCATCTTTGGTACGCTTTCAGAAAATGCAGCAAAATGTGCAACCTAATAGAAGTCAATGGGACCGTGGCTAAAAATGCTGATGAAACACCCAGAAACCACATACACCCGCACTGTGTTCAAAACGCAGTGCACCAGTGTGAACCTGCTCTAAGTGAGCAGATTGTGTGTCAAAAATATATTCCTATTACAAACACTTGCACCATTTAGGGGACATTCATTAACCAATGGTCAGGGATTTTTCTAGCTCTTGTTCTTAACCATATCTTCAGTGCTCTTTATAAGTCAGACAAGAAACAGCGGTGGGTTGCAATGATGCAGAGTACAGGAAGGAGGTCTAAAGCAGATAACGGTCTATGGGAAAGTGAAGGTAAACAGTACATACTTAAAAAGTCTTTTATACAGTTTACAGTAACTTACTGCACCATAAAATGTTATTAACTAAACCTCAGTGACAAAATTCAACATGAAAGATTGTATGCCTGACTTTGGACCAGATTACAGTAAACTAATACATATGTCTACTCTAAAACTTTGATATGCAAATTCAAACACCAGACATAAGGATGTCTTACCTGTTGCCATTTCTGCTGTAGAAAGGTGTCCTTAACATACAAATATTTGCTCATCTGGTCCAATACACCCTGATAGTAAACCATGGCAGAATCGTAGTTGCCCAGAAGAGCATATTCACGTGCCAGTTTCACATTCTCGCTTATCATAAGTAGACTCATTCTGATAAGTGAAAAAAAAAAAAAAAAAAAAAAAAAACAAAAACAATATCATTGTAACTTTTCTCTAAGACCTAATAAACAAATTGATATATTATACACACTATGATCCCACCAGTTAATTAGAATATCAGCTTACAATTAAGATAAACACCATCACTTACTACATAATAGCAAACTTTTGGAAAGTATCCGAACCAGATCGCTGGTGCCATGCAGGACTCAGTCAGTTTGATTGATTGATCTGTCTGTCCATACATCGTACATTATGCAGGCAGGCTCACTCTTATAGGAAGAATCAATGAACTACCAGAGCGCTCAATAGCGCTGTGGTGATTTATTGAGAACTACAAGCTACATGTCAGTACTCATAGTTGATTCATTCATGGAATTCTGTGAATGGATGACGCTGCCATTTGGGTGAACCCCGGCACAGCCGGGTTCTTTTCAAAAGTGATAGCTAGTACAGGGAACTTCTCCCTATATTGCTGTCACCCTGAGGGATCAGATCGGCAAGCTGCTTGAGGAGCGGAAAAATGTCACGTTTAACCTTAAAAACGGATGGAACATGTGACATGTTCCCAAAGATGAACTTATCCTTTAACCCTTTCGCTGCCAGAGCCCTTATTGCACGTTCAAGAAAAAAAAAAAATATTTGGCTGAAGATTACACAAAACCCCCAAAACATTATATATATTTTTTGAAAGCAGACACCCTAAAGAATAAAATAGTGTTCGTTCCAATTTTTTGTCACACGATATTACCACAAAGGTCTAGGAAACACAAAACTTCAGTAAAAAAACACACTTAAGTTAATTTTAGGGCAAAAAATTACCCATTTTTTTAGTAAAATCTAAAAGATGAGGTTGCACAAAGTATATAGATACCCAACATGTCAAATCTTAAATTTGCATGCGCTCATGAATTGGTGACAAACTTTAGTGCCATATATATATATATATATATATATATATATATATATATATATATATTTTTTTTTTTTTTTATACAGGTGCCACTTTTAAAGCCCCTTATAGGACATCAGTTTAGTGTTACGGAGGAGTTCTGGTGCTAGGATTATTGCTCTCATTTTGGCATGTGTGGCAACTCGTAACATATATCGTAATTGACATTTTCATGTGTAGGTGCCCAAATGTGTGCGTTTACACATTCTTACATGCCTATACAAGGAGGGCCTCAAAATTTTCGAGGGGGGGAATTTTATATGCTTAGGTGTAACATAGGGAGAGGGAAAGGGATAATATATATAATACATATACCCAGAACTAGGCTATATAGTGTATTTGAACTAGGAGTCAGACAAGCTATAGAAGGGTAGGGGGGAGGGGAATATAAATCTTTTATATCAAAATAGTATGAAAAGCTGAGACTTTTTGGCACGTATATAATAATTTTAAATATATTGCACAATACTGGTAGACTAAGTTTTAATTGCATTAAATTGTAAAGCCTTATATTGCCTCTAGTCTATCAGCCTCCAGCTTCTCTGGGTTCATATGCTGATCTTCCCTGCACACAGCCCTTAATGTGATTATAAACATTGGATTTTTTTTTCTAAAACAACAAACTTGTCTCCCTCCTAGATTGTAAGCTCGAAAGAGCAGGACCCTCGAACCCTCATGTATTGTATTGTTACTGTCTTGTCTCATGTTCTGTCCCCCTTGCTACTGTACAGCGCTGAGCAAACCCTTTGGCGCTATATAAATACTGTATAATAATAATATTTGCTGCTCTGTGCAACCTGCTGCTCTGAGCAGACCCGATTCTCCTCTTTTGGGCCCCCCACTGGCGCTTCTGGCTCCTCCTGCCTTGAGAGTGCCCCTATAGAAAGTCACAAAAGTATAGTATAGAGTGTCCCTAAAGCAAGGGTAAAAAAAAAAAAAAAAAAATTCTGCCTTTAGAATCTCTTTAACCGCTTACCCGCCGACGTATAGCAGATATACTGCTACACAGCGGCACGGGTGCGCAAAATCACGTATATACAGTCATGGCCGAAATTGTTGGCACCCTTGATATTTCTCCAGGAAATCATGTATTTCTCACGAAACGTATTGCATTAACACATGTTTTGCTATACACATGTTTATTCCCTTTGTGTGTATTGGGACAAAACAAAAAAAGGGAGGAAAGAAAGCAAATTCGACATAATGTCACACAAACCTCCAAAAATGGGCTGGACAAAAGTATTGGCACCCTTTCACAACTGCGGATAAATAAGAATGTTACAAGCATGTGATGCTCCTGTAAACTCACCTGGGGCAAGTAACAGGTGTGGGCAATATAGAAATCACACCTGAAAGCAGATAAAAAGGAGAGACGTTCACTTAACCTTTGCATTGTGTGTCTGTCTGTGCCACACTAAGCATGGACAACAGAAAGAGGAGACGAGAACTGTCTGAGGACCTGAGAACCAAAATTGTGGCAAAATATCAACAATCTCAAGGTTACAAGTCCATCTCCAGAGAACTAGATTTGCCTTTGTCCACAGTGCGCAACATTATCAAGAAGTTTGCAACCCATGGCACTGTAGCTAATCTCCCTGGTCGTGGACGGATGAGGAAAATTGATGAAAGATTGCAACGCAGAATAGTCCGGATGGTGGATAAGCAGCCCCAAACATGTTCCAAAGACATTCAAGCTGTCCTGCAGGCTCAGGGAGCATCAGTGTCAGCGCGAACTATCCGTCGACATTTAAATGAAATGAAACGCTATGGCAGGAGACCCAGGAGGACCCCACTGCTGACACAGAGACATAAAAAAGCAAGACTACAGTTTGCCAAAATGTACTTGAGTAAGCCAAAAGCCTTCTGGGAAAACGTCTTGTGGACAGATGAGACCAAGATAGAGCTTTTCGGTAAAGCACATCATTCTACTGTTTACCGAAAACGGAATGAGGCCTACAAAGAACAAAACACAGTACCTACGGTAAAATATGGTGGAGGTTCAATGATGTTTTGGGGTTGTTTTGCTGCCTCTGGCACTGGGTGCCTTGACTGTGTGCAAGGCATCATGAAATCTGAGGATTACCAAAGGATTTTGGGTCGCACTGTAGGGCCCAGTGTCAGAAAGCTGGGTTTGCGTCCAAGATCCTGGGTCTTCCAGCAGGACAATGACCCCAAACATACGTCAAAAAGCACTCAGAAATGGATGGCAAAGAAGCGCTGGAGAGTTCTGAAGTGGCCAGCAATGAGCCCAGATCTAAATCCCATTGAACACCTGTGGAGAGATCTTAAAATTGCTGTTGGGAAAAGGTGTCCTTCCAATAAGAGAGACCTGGAGCTGTTTGCAAAGGAAGAGTGGTCCAAAATTCCGGGTGAGAGGTGTCAGAAGCTTATTGATGGTTATAGGAAGCGACTGATTTCAGTTATGTTTTCCAAAGGGTGTGCAACCAAATATTAAGTTAAGGGTGCCAATACTTTTGTCCAGCCCATTTTTGGGGTTTTGTGTGACATTATGTCATATTTGCTTTTCTGCCTCTGTTTTATATTTGTTCCAATACATACAAAGGGAATAAACATGTGTATAGCAAAACATGTGTTAATGCAATACCTTTTTTGTGTGAAATACTTGATTTTCAGGAAAAATCAAGGGTGCCAACAATTTCGGCCATGACTGTATACATGCACGTGATTTTGCATTTCTGGGTAGGGGGCACGTGAGCTGCACCCTACCCGTGCCACCATTCGCGCGGCCGCGGAGGTCAATCACTGGGCCCCGGCCGATGATTACTGATGGGGAGAAAGACTGCTTTGTTTACATTCTTCCTGTCAGTACGGGCGCACAGCCATCCCAATCAGTGTGCTTAGAGTGAAGAACACAGCCCGCCCCCTAGTAAAACAGTCCCTACACAGTTAACAATTTGATTGCCCCTCACATTAACTCCTTCATGCCCAGTCTCATTATCACTGGTCACTGTAGTGGTGTCATTGGGGATGTCAGTCACACCAAGTTAGTTCCCTCCCCAGTGTCAGAATGCCTGCCGCAGTCCCGCTAAAAAGTCGCTGATTGTCACCATTACTAGTAGGGGAAAAAAAAAAAACCCAGTATCTATACCGCCATTTGTAAATGCTATAACTTTCACTTAACCAACTAAGTTACACGTATTGGGAATTTTTTTTAGCAAAAGACATGTACTGAACATGTTTAATAGCAAAAAGTACAAAATATTGTTTTTTCCTCAAAATTGTTGGTCTTTTTTTCTTACAGCGCAAAAAATAAAAAAAAAACGCACAGGCGATCAAATACCACCGAAAGAAAGCTCAGTTCGTGGGAAAGGACGTAAATTTCATCTGAGTGCGGCGTTGCATGATCACGCAATTGTCAGTTAAAGTAACAGCACCGTAACACAAAAAAATGGCCTGGTCAGGAAGGGGGGGGGGGGGAATCTCTGGAGGGCAAGTGGTTAAATCACTTCCTTCTCCTGACCAGGACTACATGTCCCACAAGGCATTGTTCCTCATACATTCACAAGTTCTCTGGCACTTACTAACATGTATGGACAGTGTACATGTATGATAGGTGTACGGAGTTGTATATGTGCTGTATTGTATTTTGACATGTAAACAAATAATGCATTCTGTATGCAGACCTATCAATGTAAACAGTTATCAACTATTTTCATAATCGTGTACAATTGAAAAATAAAAAAAATGGCCTGGACTAGAAGGGGGTGAAACAGTCCTCTCTTGAAGTAGTTTAAACTGAAACTTTAGTTCCAGTTTTAGTCATCCACAAATCACTCAGTGCTTTCTCTGTATCGTGGTAATGAAATCTATTCAAACTATATATCTATTATAAAAAAAAAAAAAACCAGCACAAACACTTGTACACAGAAAAAGGGCTTACACGTGACCTAAAATACCAGTATAATTATTCAAGCAATCATACAATTATAGGTATACTGAAGATCAAGATATGAAAGTAGCATGACAAGTAAAAGCAGTGCATGGAAATAATAAAGTCTTTGTTTGCATTACAGCACAC